CGAATATTTATCCAATGGAAGTCTCGATTCTTACATCTTTGGTAAGTAGTCACTCGTGATGAGGTCAAGTTTGTTCAGTGGCTGTTTTTGCTTGAAGTGTTTGATTTATAATTGAGACACACTAAGGGCGCGGTTGGATATAAATCCAATCGGTTTTGTTTGGTTAAACTTTAAAGTAAGTTAAAGTGAAATATTTTGAACAAAGTAGATTGAGTAGATGATTTTGATTTTGAAATTAAATAATATTTGAAATATAATTTTAAATTGGCATGATATAAAAAAATGAGTGAGATTATTAGAAGTGATACCTAATTAAAATTAGGTAGAATTGCATTTTATAACCTGTAACTAGGGGTGTGTGTGGCAAATGTGGACAACTTCTTTTTGGTTTGGGCACAAATTTCGAATTTTAACAAGTTACTGTCATGTTTTGCAACACGAAACACCGGTCAACTCCGGTAACTTATAGGTAAATTGGGCACGAATTCCAGGTTTTAACAAGTTTTGGAGCACTTTTGCCAAACCAAAAAGAAGCTGCCCACATTTGCCACACACGCATAGTTACAGGGCACAAAATGTAATTTTGCCATTAAAATTACGTGAGTCAATGGATAGTGAATTAAAGTTGATGTGTGACCGTGTAAGAATAATTGATTGGTGTTATTTAAGTATATTTTTAAAAAATAAAAAAATTGGGTTGAGTTGTATTATGAGTTACATGATTGGATATGAAATAATCCAACCGGTCGTAACCGGTTAAAACTGTTCATAACTCGTATCTAATCACGCCCTAAATCTCAGGTTCACGTAAACGAGAGTTTCTTGACTGGCAAACACGCGCAAACATCATTGAGGGGATCTGTCGAGGTTTACTTTATCTTCATAGGGATTCAAGGCTAAGAATCATCCACAGAGATCTGAAGGCTAGTAACATTTTACTCGACACGAATCTTAACCCAAAAATTTCAGACTTTGGCACAGCAAGAATATACTGTGGCAAGGAAGATCAAGCTGCAAAGACAAAAAGGGTCGTCGGGACATAGTAAGTGTATTTTACTCGAAAAATATTCTCAAGTTTCATCACAGGACACATTTTTTGGTACATGCTTGGGGGTGTTTGTTTATATAAATTTTTTCAATTTATACTCAATTCATACTCAAAATCGAAAAAACTCGTTTTGCGCAGATATATTTGTATTCAAGCGCGCCCTTAATTTTCTGCATTCATTTGTCCAGTGGCTACATGTCCCCAGAATACGCGCTACACGGGATGTTCTCGGAAAAATCGGATGTTTACAGCTTTGGTGTCCTGATATTAGAGATTTTGAGTGGCAAAAGTGCCAGTTTCTACCATGAAGAGCAACAGATGTTCCTAATAGCATATGTAAGTTACTAAATTACTAATTACTATTCTACATTTTATTTACCATCAATAAACCGGCCATAATATTAAACTCCGGTCGTGTTTTGGATAATTTCCAGGCGTGGAAACTGTGGAACGAAGAGAAGATACTCGACTTTGTGGACCCACTAATGACGTACGCTGATCCCTTTAAGGAAACGGATGTGGCGAGATATGCAAATGTGGGCCTATTGTGCGTGCAAGAAACGGCAGTTGACCGGCCGGGAATTTCTAATATTCTGTCTATGCTGAGTTGTGAAATATCCGAGCTCCCTCGTCCGAAACAACCCGCTTTTGTTGCCGTGCAGAGGTTGTCTGAAACACGGCTCGGTCGTGAGAGTCCTAGTCAATGTTCTGTCAATGATGTTACGGTTACCGTTGTTGAAGGGCGGTAGAAAGGCCTTCGAAATTTTCAGTAACTTTGTTTGTTCTTTCTTTCTTATTTATTCAAATAATTTGGTAAATCAGTTACTATTTACTAAACCGATCTAATACTATAACGGGATTGTAGCATTTTCTTTTATTTATATCGGTTCAGTTGTGACTTTTTATTGTATATTTTTATTTACAATTTATTTAAAAATCAAATCAGATAATGAGGTGTATATTTAGTTGAATTGGGCCTTGTTCATTCTTGAGTTCTGTTGGGCCGATTAATTGCCAGATTATTGGGCTGGGAGTTATAGCATATGACCGTAAACAGAGAATCACGCCGTTCACCTGCAATTTTTTTTTTTTCAATTATTTGCATATTAACAAAGTTATTCTTAAAATAAAATTATAATTCCGATTTTATAAATAGTTAATTTGTGGTTTACTTTTATCATTAAAATCTATATTACATTGTTTTTTTTTTTTATTTATGATTCATTTATGAATAATTTACGTATGTTTTTATTTTTAATGTAAATAGTTTCACAAACAAAAAAAAATCAAAAAATTTAGTTAACATGTTAAAAGTCAAACACAAAATAATTCAAAATAATTTTATCTATATAAAATTTAAAAATGACTTTCATCTTGAATTTTGCAGATGCATAAAGCAAAACTCCTTTTTTAAATTGTTTTTTTTTT